GGTGTGAGGCATACGATGCTTCCTAGGATTATTGTGAGGTCCATACCCAAATCTGGCTTTGAACATTAACTCACTTATATCTGCTTTGTGGTCCGTTTGCGTTTTTGTACCGCATCTCAACCATTTCAGACTTTCTTCCCAGGAATGGCAGCGGGTCGCTGACCTCCCCCGAGATGTTCTCGCGAGTGAGTGTGGGCTTTCATAGCTGTTCCACTTGCCGCGTCACGCGATCAGAAAGGAACCAACCGCACCTGTTGCTGCGCCCGATTTTGCCGGCCGTTCCGACGTCCCTGTCTCTGTCCCTGTCCCTGTCCCTGTCCCTGTCCCTGTCCCTGTCCCTGTCCCTGTCCCTGTCTCGACGCTGATACCAGCGGCTGAGGCGGTACCCCTCCGGCGCGCCGGCGGGCCGCCGCTGGTCGCCAGCTCCAGGCGGGGGCTGCGAGGGGTCACGGTCAGCCGTGGGCTGCCGGCTCCTGACGACGGATGGTCCGCGCGACTGGGCCGGATCCGGCGCACCGTCCGACGATGGCGTCGAATGGATGGTCGCGCCGCTTGCGCCATTTGCCACGGACGAGCCCGAGTCACCTGCCGGCCCGCCGCGTGGACCTGCGCCATGCGCCACGGCTGAGCCTGGGTCGCCGGACTCCCCGCTCCGCCCCCGCCCTCTCCTCCCCCCCCCCCCCCGCCGCGTGGATCTGCACCATGCGCCACGGGCGAGCCCGGGTCCGCCGGACTCCCCGCTCCGTCCCCGCCCTCTCCTCCCTCCCCCCCGCCGCCTGGACCTGCGCCATGCGCCACGGGCGAGCCCGGGTCGCCGGACTCCCCGCTCCGTCCCCGCCCTCTCCTCCCTCCCCCCGTCGCCTGGACCTGCGCCATGCGCCACGGCTGAGCCCGGGTCGCCGAGGCGCCTCTCCTCCCCCCCCCCCCCCCCCGCTTGGGACATCCGGGAGTCGGCCCCCGAGGGCTTACCAAGAACGTTGCATCGGCTCTGGAATGACCTGCGCCATGCACCTGCAGAGTCGACGGCCGGCGCCGGCGCTGTAATGTTCCTTGCTGGCGGCCAAGTTACGGCAGGAGGGTGACGTTACGGTTCGTACTCCGTGTCTTGCTGTTTCATGCAGCGAATGCACTGATTAAATTAGTTAGTGGCATTAAAGGAATTTGCGTAATTGAATTAATTTACGACGCGTCTGCGCTTTGGCTCTCACCTTCATAACCCTGACAAAGTGGCTTTGCTGCAAGGCTGCGCCAAGTTTAGCCCGTGGCGGCCTTGCTGTCCGGCGGGTGACGGGGGTGGGCGAGATGGGGGACGTCCAGCTCGTGGGGCTCCACCCGCGGGGGCCGACCTCCCGCCCCTGTCCTGTTCGCCGCCCTTGACACGAGGATGCCGCGAGACGCACTTCAAGCGCCGACATCCGGGTGTCGCCTGTCATCTGTCATCCGGCGCCAGCGCGCCCACGCCTCCGCGGCGTCGGCTGTGACTGATCCAGGTCGGCGTGCCTGCGGCCGTCCGCCCCAGCCGGATTACGGCTCGGCGTGTTGGTTGTTTTCCATGTCGCGGCGGATGGGATCTTCGGACAGAGATGTGGGCGATTTGGGGTTCGTTCGGTACACCGGTCGTGACCAGCAGTCGTTAAGGCGGACGGTTAGATAACCGTCCAAACGTAAGATACGATGGGGTTGAAATAAATTTGCATAATTTAGCCCCGGCATCGCACAAGAGCACGATCGACTTTGATGTTTCCAAACATCAAGTTATGTGTATAACTTCATGGATCGCAAAACCGAGCACCGATGTATTCCATCACCCACGTTATGCGTGGTTGCATGCTCTCATCAGTCCGTGGCGCACGTCGTTGGACAGTCCCTCATGGGACGGCAGCGGATACTACGGTCACAACATCGGCCTCATCTTCGGCCGGGAATCGAACCCGCGCCTACCGCGTGCGAGCCCGAGGCCTTCCCAACTGGACTATCGCACGCTCTCTTGGGTAACGCTCACGGCGACGTCACCAGCGTGCATCTGTCGGCGAGGCTGCACAGCGTAGCGCACCGGAGCAGCGGGACTGTGTTTTCCCCGCCGTCGCTATCCGCGCTCCATCCACGGCCGCGGTGCCGTTGGACGGGCGGCTGTCTTGGGAATCCCATTTGGCGTCCTTGCCGGCACCGCGGCCGCTGTAGTACCGCAGCGGCGCGCGGACTCTTCTCGGCTTTGCCGGACCCCGGCCGCCGCTATGTGGGTCAGCCTGGCGTCCGGCTGGGCTGCACGGTCAGCTGGCCGGCCGACGCCCCTCTCCGGCAAGGTCACGGGCAGCCGGGGCGCGGCCCGGCACGTGCCGGCCGGCTGGGCTCGGCTTCGACGCCGCCTGCTCGCCAGCCGTCGCGAAGCGGACGCACAAGTTGGGTAAACCCATGTGTACTCATGTAGAATGGGTAACAGGTCGGGTTGGGTGCAGATTTCGAGAAAATTACAGCCTATGGATGCAGGTATGGCTAAGATACCTTTAAATATGGGCTGGATCATTCGAGAACTACAACACAATGCTCCTGTTTTCGCTTCGTGTGTCATAAGTTCCACTCACACCACCTATGCAATTGTTAGCGCAAAAAGTATGTTTCGTTTTAAAGCTTTCTGAAACCTTCTCATACTTGGGAACTCAAGTGTCTGGAAAATGCGACAGATGCGAAACGGGCGGGTACAACTGATGTTTTGACTGGGGGGGGGGGCACGCTACAGCACCATGGGTAGCGGGTAGATTGGTTAACGCAAATCGCATTCGTGGAGGCCTCCAGCGGCGTTAAGTCAGTGTGGGAGGGCGTGTCGGTTTGGCCGTGATGGCCGCGTCCGACGCCGTGTGTGCTGCATACTGCTGAGCTCGGCGGCCGGACGAGAATGGGCAGTGGGTCGATGCGGCCGTGCTCAGCCTGGCTGCCGGAGCCGAGCTCGCTCGTGCGGGAGCCGGGGGCGAGCGAGTGAGCCGGCCTGCTCACGCCCTCGTCAGCGGCCTGACGCGGCCGTGCGGCGCTGCCGCCCTTTGGGCCGGATCTACCGGGGTCTCAGCCGTCTTGCGGTGGGCCCCGGGCGGCTGGGCGCCTTCGTCGAACCCCATCGGCGCCCACCGCAAGCCCGGGCCGAGCCGCGGCCGCCCGGGCTGGTAATCCGCGCCTCACGCGTGCCGCACCGACTGTGTCGGCCGCCCTGCCGCCGGGCCGATGTTTCGTCAGCGCCGCCCGCTGCCGACGCTCGTCAGCCGTCCGTGTTTGTGTGGCGCGCCGATTGGTGGGATCCGGTCGGCGACACGCGGCGCGAGAGCGCAGCGCGCCGGGAGAGGGTGGGCCCGAGAGCGCGAGCCGGTCCCGCCCGGTCGGCCGGCGCGAGGTCCCGCGTGCTAGTGCTGCTGAGCTCGCCGTCGCCAGTGCAGGAGGCGTGCCGGCGCTTCGGCGCTGAGTGGTGGCCGAGCGGCGGCTGGCCGGAATGCCGGCTTACATGCTGTCGTGTAGGCGACAGCGCCGACTGTAGCCGTCGCCCAAACTGGTCCCGCCCGCCGGGCGCCAGCCGCCCCGGGTCCAGCCAATTCAGGCGCTGCCGCCCTTCCCCTCCCACGCCTCCCCCGCCGGTCGGTCGTGAGGCGGCTTCCCAGGACTGTAGCTGAGATGGTCACTCAGCTTCACCTGAACGACCGCAACATGAGATTAATCTTAGATGGAATCCGGTCTTCGTTCCAGTCACTGCGTCCTCGAGGTGTTCCTCTTTCGTCTCCCGGGACTCGCTTCGTCCGAATGACCACAACTAGAGATTAACCTGAGATCATGTCCGGCCTTCGCTGCGGTCAACACGCCCCCAGAAGTGTTCCTCCTTCAGCCCAGAGATTCAGCAGTCAGAAAAGTGTTCCTTTGTTGTCCCCTGGGCTCAGCGCAGACACCCCGCGCGCCCGGGCCCGCATGTAGTGTAGACATCCGCGCACTCGGGACCAGACTCGGCGCAGACATCCGCGCCCTCGGGTTTGGGCGCAGCGCAGACACCCCGCGCGCCCGGGACCGGACGTAGTGTAGACACCCCGCGTACTCGGGACTGGACTCAGTGCAGGCATCCGCGCCCTCGGGACTGGGTTCAGCGCACACACTCCGCGCGCTCTGCATCGGACTCAGCGCACACACTCCGTGCGCTCGGGAGGCTTGCCTGGTTGACCCGCTGGGCGCTCGCGACCCTGCCCCAGCCATGAGTTCTGACAGGGCTGGGCGCCTGATGCAGGAGGCCTTCATGCCATAGACTCGCAGCGTTTAGCCTCGAAGGTCGGAGGCCCGGGAGCGTCCGCTGGTGGTCGTCACCTCCAGACTTAACGCCCGGCAAAAATGTGTCGTGCCGCGACGTGGATGTCCGCGATTCCTATTTTTGGCGGCTGAAAATTCTCCAGTTTTCCTTATTCCTGAACGAAAGCACGCAGACGTTCGAAAGTGAGTTAATGTTGCGCACGTCTGCACATTGCACGGGGATGGTCATAAAAACGGATGCGTCAAAAATCGTGAGCGTTTGCATGAAATCATAGACATTGCCTCACACAGAAGGGACTTATCCTGTTTCCTTGTCCAAGTTTAACGAGCCTGTACCTGCACTCGAGCCTGAATATGCCTGCGGAGATTTGCATGTGGCCGTGCTGGGCCGGGTTCTGTCGTGAAGCGCGTCAGCGCGCTTCAAATGACCAGACATCCAACTTGACACAAAGCTGCGATAGTCCATGTCAAGATAAACTGTGTACAATTGGTTCTGCGTGGTGCATTGGTGGCTGGGTAATGAGTCGGTCTTTTGCGAGGCCGTCGCCGTGGCAAAGCGAAGAATGTTGCAAACTGTCACAAGACACGGACATGGCCTTGTCCACCAGGCACAAGGGTGACAATCCCCTATGAAGAGAACATGCAACCCAAATCACCCCCAAGACAGCTGAAGTCGGCGTTTTGAAACGAAAAACTGGCGCTATATGTTGATGGATTCGAAGTGCATAATGTCCATGTGAGTTAAACTGTCTTCCGATGCGATTACCTGCCAATGCCCAAGGACGACCTTCATTTTCTCGGCCCCGTGTCGACATACAGTGCAGGCCATTTCAAAGCGGATCTGTGTTCAAGTTATCCCCGTTTTATGCGCTAGTAAAGTTTACTGATTAGGCCTCCAGCACACTGGCATGTTTTCACGAGATCACAGCTGGTGTAAAACGGTATGAACCTGGCACTATCCGATTTAAATCAACCTCAATTCACTGCATTGCTCTTTCCATATTGCCTCCGCGTGCTGCGGACGTTGTTGTTGGTCAGCGGCATGAACTAAGCCCGGAGACATCGGCTCGCGGTTTTGTGTTGTTTCGGGCTTCAGTCATGAACACAGTCACCCCGGGAGCATAGGGAGCGACGCTCCTTATCAGCAGACTTCCTTCTTAGCGCGGGCCCGAATACGTGGTTTCAGCATTGAAACACATTCCTTCAGCGCACCGCAGCGTTCGCTCCGTTATCACCCATTGGTTCGTAGCCTGTTGACAACATGCGCGAGACACCCGGTTTGCGAACGCAAACGGGGTGGGGTCTAAAATGTCGTTGCCATCGCCAGATTAGCGAAGGCAGCACTGCCTGGGCGTGTTCACTACAGCACTGCTTCTAAAAGATCACCTCGCCATCGCTGTAGGATTTCGTGCACTACAGCACTGCTTCTAAGAGATCACCTCGCCATCGCTATGGGATTTCGTGCACTACAGCACTGCTTCTAAAAGATCACCTCGCCTTCGCTCTAGGATTTCCTGCCGCAGGTGAGCACTGCTCATGGCGAATGGTGAAGGGAGCCGTGTAAATGTTCTCAGCATCATGCGAAATCTGACAGCTGGGCAGAAGATGCCACGTGCCTGTTTGCATCCGCCTCGCGTGTGTGATGTTAGTTGTACATCCAGGCGTTGATGTTGGCACCAGGCGTTGATGTTGCCCCTGCCGTCGCCGCTGTCGGCGGGGTTTGTGGTGAGCTCTCCTCAGTGCGTGGTTGCGCTGGCCGTGAGTGAGGCGCAAGACGACATGGATGGTGTGGCCGTTTTAACAGCGACATGGAAGGCCGACTTGGGCTCGAGAATGCTAATCACCGCTCGCTACCGCTCCCTTATGACGTGCCATATTCCGTGCCGGTGAAAAATACAAACAGGATACAGACGGTACAGTTAGACAAGGAAAACCTCAATCCGTGCGACACATCCCGCTTTCAAGCCCAAAGTTAAATGCTATCACGCGAAGGCATGGGACTAGATCGCCATGCATTGTCATAAGCCCTGGTTGCAATCGATGTCGCCAGGGGCGTATGCAGAACTCCGCAATGGGGGGCACAGCTAATGATGCCCACCCAAAAACGTACGCAACGATACGCGCGAAATTTCTAGCATGGATTTTTGTTCGGCCGTTTTCAGTGTGCATTTTGTAGTGTACATACATATGTAATTTGTTTTTTCACCGTGAACACTCATTGACATGCACTAACTTTTCATTACGGGGGCACGTGCCCCCAACGACCCCGTCCCCACTCCACTTACACATTGCACCGCTTGTTTAGCCGTGAAGGCCTTAGCCTTCAGCAACTTCGCTGCATCCGCCACCTTCGCCAGCTTTGGGGCGGTGGTAGTCGACCTCTGTTGATTTTAGTTCAGCTATGCATAGAGCAAAAATGTGTAGCAACGGTACATTTTCATACCAAAAGTCTAAGAAGGTTGTTTTAAGCGATGAGTGATGGTTGTCCTTTTATGTCAGACCTGATCACATGTCGCCACTTATAACGCGCTTTCGGTGTCCCCGTACCAAGCTACCAAGGCACGCTTTCATTTGAGGTCGACGTGAAACGCGACGCCATGTTATGTCATCTAACGTACGTGCATGATCTTTACCTTGGGGACCTTGTAAGCTACACGATACGACATGATACATTAGATTGGTTGAATCATATGCACATTGAAGGAAGGCACGCTCATATGCACATGAAAAGAAGCGCGCTCATATGCACATTAAAGAAAGGCGCGCTCATGTGCACATTAAAAGAAGCGCGCTCATATGCTCATTAGAAGAAGGCGCGCTCATATGACCATTAAAAAGATGCGCTCATCTGCCCATTAAAAGAAGGTGCGCTCATATGCACGTTAGAAGAAGGCGCGCTCATATGCACATTAAAAGAAGGCGCGCTCATAAACACATTAAAGGAATGTGCGCCAACGTGATTTTGGACGTTTTTAGCATTTGGCATAACGTGACCTTGAGCATTGACGGCATATGTGCCGCCAGACATGTTGGCCATTTTGATTCCTTTGGCCTTCTTACGAGGTTTTTCCTGTAAGGGTTACGTGGATGCATTGGACGTCACCTTCAAGATTTGGCCGGATTCCCCTTAAAAGTTGTCTTTCAAAAGCTTGCTATTTTAGTCAAATTGGCGACCCATTTTGCCCGGTCCTTGACAGATAAATATGTGCTCTTACTGAAACAGGATATGATGACCGCACACTCCGTTGGCTACTGCACTTTGTCTTATTGGTCTGAGCGATCGAAATTATTTCGCGGAAGTAACCGATAGCGTGGAAAGATGTTCCGACCATCCCCCCAGCCAATTTCCAGCCATGAACAATGCAGATATATGCATAGGAGCAGGTCTATGCATAGGAACATGGCAAAGGACCACCGACATCGGATGGGCAATCGGGGTTTGATAATAGAGGTGATCTGTTACGGTGTGGAGGGGCGGCGGCGCGCAGACTGCGGGAGGGGTCGGCGCGGAGCAGGGGGCGCGCCGGCCGTGGCACGTCCTGTGCCGCCGGCGCCGGACGCCGCGCCCGCCGGCCGTCGGCGACGCCGGGGAGCGTCGCTTCCGGCGCGGGGAGCGGCGGCTGGGCGAGCGCACCGTGCCATGGGCGGGGTGGAACGTGAGGTTACCGCGGCGGCAGGCGTGAAGGCGACACCGGTGATAGCCAATGGTAGATTTGAGGAGCGCCGTGGAATTGCCTATGGCGTGGACAATTGTTTAAAGGATGAGATTTGATTGGTGGAGTGCATTACTTGAACAGCGTAAGGAGTTGCTATCCGCAGTCCGGGTTTGCAGCGAGAAACGAAGGGACGGTGTGCATGACTGCCGAACGTGATTACTCCAGAGTAATCAGGATCAGGAGGAATCGGCCAGAGACCGATAGTCATGACTTCTATAGGTACATGATTCCTGATTCGGGCTATTTCATTTGCTCGACTTCTGGATGCAAGGCAGGTTCTGGGGAAGTCGGAGAATGTTGATCCGCCCATCCCCCCCCCCCCCCCGTATGCTCCCAAGTGTCATCGGTGGTGTATAGGATGGGGAGCGAGGTAGGACCCGAAAAGATATCTAGCCTGTGCCCCCTCCCTACCCCCGCTCCCGCTCCGTGGAAAAATCTCCAGCCTTGGTGATGCGTGGGGTTGCAGTCGCACATCGCGGCGCATAAGCTAAATTTCAGGTTAAAATTGTTTCGTGCTCAAGAAAGATGCTTACTTCCCTTTGATTATCCGATCCCCTCGCCGGACTTATGCTCTTATCTCGGTGGCTCAGTGTTAAGTAATTATACTTGAACAGAGTCGGGAGCAAGTAGTTCGTTTTAACGCCCTACTTGGACGACCCCATGAAATCAAGCAGCAACTGGTTTTGAGCGTCCCCGGCTGGCTTTTCCCGCCGGAGCATGTTGAGCGGCTGCCGCTCGCCCGAGCGCCAACTCTCGACCCCCGCTCGTATCCGGTCCCATGGTCTAATTTGGGAACAGATGAGCGGCTCAGACCGCCACCCGGACGCGCCGGCCGGCCTGCCGTGCTCGAGTGCCGGACCGCTTGGACGAGGTCGCGGCGACGTCAGAGGACCGCGCCGGTGCGGAGGCCCGGCCCGACACCGACGCCGGCGCTCTGCTGCCCGCGTCCGCCGGTCCGTGCGTGCGCGGCGTGGCGCTCTGCTGCTCGCGTCCGCCGGTCCGTCCGTGCGCGGCGTGGCGCTCTGCTGCCCGTGTCGGCCGGGCCGTCCGTGCGCGGCGTGGCGCTCTGCTGCTCGTGTCCGCCGGTCCGTGCGTGCGTGGCGCGGCGCTCTGCTGCTCGTGTCCGCCGGTCCGTCCGTGCGCGCGCGGCGCTCTGCTGCTCGTGTCCGCCGGTCCGTCCGTGCGCGGCGCTGCGCTCTGCTGCTCGTGTCCGCCGGTCCGTCCGTGCGCACGCGGCGCTCTGCTGCTCGTGTCGGCCGGTCCGTCCGTGCGCGGCGCTGCGCTCTGCTGCTCGTGTCGGCCGGTCCGTTCGTGCGCGGCGCTGCGCTCTGCTGCTCGTGTCCGCCGGTCCGTCCGTGCGCGGCGCGTCACTAACTCTGCGCTTTCCCGGCAGGATGGTGCGAGAGCGGGCGGAGCGTATGGAGAGGACCAAACGCGAGATGGAGGAGGAGCTCGCCTCCAGGCAGCGCCAGAGGGAAGAGGCGAAGATGCAGAGTGAGGCACAGAACAAGTGAGTCGCCGCCTGCACCGCGCTCCTTGCGTTGTCTCTGGAGTCGTGGTACGCAGGTTAAGACCTTATCGTTTTACCTTGGTGATAGACGCTCGCGTGTGGTAGTAATTTGCCCAGCATCAAGTGGCGTTTTGTTAGGATGTTTGTGTCATCAGCAGTTGACCTAGCACCAGCACGAGCTAGGCCTAGGTCAAGCAGCACGAGTTCAGCATACCACTGGTGCGGCCTCATAATCATCCTGACCACATGAGGTGACCAAGTTATCTGATCTGTCTCGAAATTAATCCGACCGTTTTAACCACATGTTGGATGAAAGGCCTCGAGTTCTCTTGTTCTACCACTCGACTGTCGATTGGCTTGAGCTCATCAGCACATCAGCAATCAATAGGGAGCAGAGAAGCTCCGTCGTCAATGAATTTGCCATTCCACCCCTTTTTGTTACGTGTTCCGGGGTTCAACGTCATCATGCTAAGCCGTCCATGGGTGCCATGAGTGGCATCATCAGTGCTCCCTCGGCGGCCACTGGATCTCTCTTGCTGCCCGCTCGCCCGGTGGCCGCTGGACTGCCCACCTCCCTTTCCGCCGGCGGCCACTGGACTCCTCGCGCCTCCCGCTCCGCCGGCGGCCGCTGGACCCCTCGCGCCTCCCGCTCTCTCGGCGGCCACTGGACCCCTCGCGCCTTCCCCTCGGCGGCCGCTGAACCCCCGCGCCCTCCGCTCCGCGAGCGGCGCTAGACCCCCTCGCGCCTCACCGCTCTGCCGGCGGCTGCTGGGCCCCTCACGCTTTCCGCTCCCTCGGGCGGCCGCTGGATCCCCCGCGTCTCCCGCTCCCTCGGCGGGCCACTGGACCCCTCACTCCTCCCGTTCCGCGGGCGGCCGCTGGACCCCTCATGCCTCTTGCCCCCCTCGGCGGGCCGCTGGATCCCCCGCGTCTCCCGCCTCCCTCGGCGGCCGCTGGACCCCTCACTCCTCCCGTTCCGCGGGCGGCCGCTGGACCCCTCAATCCTCCCGTTCCGCGGGCGGCCGCTGGACCCCTCATGCCTCTTGCCCCCTCGGCGGCCGCTGGATCCCCCGCGTCTCCCGCTCCCTCGGCGGCCGCTGGACCCCCGCGCCTCCCGCTCCGCGAGCGGCCGCTGGACCCCCCGCGCCTCCCGCTCCGCGAGCGGCCGCTGGACCCCTCGCGCCTCCCGTTCCGGCGGCGGCCACTGGACCCTTCACTCCCGCTCCGCTGGCGGGCCGCTGGACTGCTCACGTCCCGCTCCACGCCCGGCAGGCTGGCGATCGACTACGCGGCCGAGCTGGAGCGACGCGACGCGGCGATCGAGGAGGCAGCGCCGGCTCCGGCTGCAGGAACTGCGCCGGCTGCAGGAGCGGCTCGCCGAGCGGCTGCGCCAGCACCAGCGCTGCCGCGAGGAGGAGGAGCACCTGCGGATGGAGCTGGAGTCGGAGGAGCGGCGCCGCGCAGCCGAGCGCGCTGAGCGCGACGAGGCGCAGCGCCAGCCTCTGCCGCATGCAGGAGATGCGACGCGCCATCGAGCTGCAGTTGCAGCAGAAGCAGGAGCAGCGTCGGCTGGACGAACTGCAGCGCCAGGCCGTCCATAAGACGGTGAGGGGCGATGGCGACGGGACAGCGAGAGCGTGTGAAGATGTGCAGGGGTATGGTGTGGATGGATGGACATATCATATATTTGTTTGCTCTAGGCGTTCCGTAGGAGTTGTTTCCCTGTTGAGCTGTTTTTATCTAGAGAATGAGGCAATAAGACAGTTTGGTTTTATTTGGTGGCGGATTAGTTCACGCTTCGTACCTAAATCATCCATGAGTTGCTCACACCATGTGTGCGTTGATCATTACGTTGCCTTATAGCCTGATTACGGCGCGCCATGAAACGCTCACTCATAACACGAGACCCATCCGTTTCACTGGGCGCCGCCTCCCCTTCTGTTACATATGATGACCCCCAGCTGACGAAGCGCGCTGTCCGCGGCGGCCGCGCGCTCACGCGGCCCTCTCCGCCTCTAGATGATGGAGAAGCTGGCCGAGGAGGAGCGGCTGGAGCTGCTGACGCTGGCGGCGCGGCGGCGGCGCGAGCTGGAGCACCGCCGCCAGGTGGAGCGCATGATGGAGGAGAACCGGCGTCGCCGCGACGAGGAGATCGCCCAGCTGTGCCACGAGAAGCGCGAGCTCGAGCGCATGGAGGCCGACCGGCTGCGCCTGGTCGAGCAGGAGCGGCGCCGGCTGCTCGAGCAGCACGCCATCAAGCTGGTCGACTTCCTGCCGAAGGGTGCGTGAGCGGCTGCTCTGTCGCTGGCGAGTGGGCTGCTCGGAGCCGGCGGCCGCCACGCTACCGAGCTCGGAATGGCCGTACTACGGCGCGCCGGCGCGCGGTGGTGAAGCGCTCGGCTGCCGCCCGCGCTTTAGACACATACTTTGTCGGACACATACGTCGCGGGCCTCTTGCGAGGCCTTGCCGCCTTAGGTACAGCCTCCGGGCTGATCCTCAGAGGCTGAAGACGGGTCGGGCTGGAGGTGGCAGTGCTCAGCTGCCGCACAACGGGGACTGTTTTATCGAGGACAGACGGCTAACGTGTGTCACTGCACGTCTGGGACGTGGTGACGGGGCTGTAGCACTAGCGAGGTGCAAAGTGTGGGGGGTGGTGCTGCCGACCGAGACGGGGCGTCGGTTCGCCTGTCTGATCCTTGCACCTTAAGCCGGCTATGGGCAGTTGTAGGGTCGTATTGGGCCCTCTCTCCGACCTGTCCGATCCCTGCACCTTAAGCCGGATGAAAGTAGCTCGGAAGTACCTGGTATGCTATCGTGATATATCGTAGGTGACGGACCTGGAATGTGGCGTTGGTTTGAGGCTAGTTTTCGGGTCTTTCGTCGAGAGAAGGCTGGGTGCTAGATGATAGCTTTTTGTGTGAGCTGCAACACTTGCCAGTAAGTGTTTAGCTGATGTTGGTCTGGGCTTTGGTACCGAATAATTCCCCTATTTTCTGCGTTCAGATCCAGGCAGCTACGCGGGCTTTAGCTGCATTTCGACATAAACTGCGGGATTATGTTCGACGTTTGCAGAGACTCCCCGACACTACGTCACTTTCAGGCACGCCTGCAGCGGGACGGTGCACTGCAGGAAATATTGGATAGGGCTCGGTTTTCAGAAGAGCTTAGCCTTCTATACAGTCGTTTCGGTGTATTCATGAGTGCTCGTTTCGGACGGAATCCATGGATTCCACTCACGCGGATGCATACCATCAATAATTCATGTCCCGACGAACGTTGGTACGAAGGTTGCGGTGATGAAGGTTAGGATGATGGCGAGCAGTATTTGCTAGGCGCGCTTGCCACCATCTCCAGTAAGCTGGTGACATTCTGGCGAATGCGTAGCAGAGACGTGCTCAAGCCAAGATGGTGTTCACAAATTACCAGCATTACGGGTGGGTCGGCCGTGCAACATCTTAATCTGTGTCGCCATCTGTTGAGCTCTGGAGACACTGCTGATTCTCCCAGGGCCACCCAGCCGCGCTTGTTTGTCAGTTCATGCTCGTTCGCGGTCGCCTGCGTGACGCTGGTCGAGATCTGGCGATGTTGCCCTGTTCTCTTGCATTCGTGTTCCTACGAACTCGTCTGTTCAGTGCCGGTTCAGGTGCTGTACCCATTAGACCGGCCGTGTAACCTCTTGATCTTTCATGTAGCCCCGCCCGAGCGGGGCTAGACGGCTTAGTGTTACCTTGCGTGTCGGCCCTTATGTACCTGTGTCCAGACGCGGTCGTGATCTGGCGCCTCGCACTGTACTCTCTCGTGTACAGCCTCCGGCCCACCGGCGAGGCTCCGACCAGCCGCTGCCTGCCGCCGGCGCTGACTGCGCACCTTTTGCTGTGTTTGGCAGGAGTGTTTCGGGACGAGAAGGAGCTGCAGGAGCTGGGCAGCCAGTCAGAGGCCGTGGACACGCTGCGAGAGAAGGCCGAAGAGGGCAGCTACGTCCGCATCTGCTAGCCAGGCTCGGATGTCCAGCACGAGGGTGTCGTCCGGAGTCGGCGGGTCAGGAGCCGTCCCGGGCGTCGACGCTTCCCACGGACGCTAGCACGATCTCATCGAGTACGAAAATCGAGGCGCCGCCGCCGCGGCCGTGTGGGCGGCGGGCGGCCGGGCCAGTGCTAACGAGGCTGCTCGAGCGGGGCTCTTGCCGTGCAGGAGCGGGGGGGGGGGGGCGCCGGCTGACCCTCGAGGGTGCGGTCAGGCGGACTAAATTGTCCTGTGTGTGGCCGCGGCTGAAGCGCGGTGGTCCGTCCGATACACTCCGTCCAGAGATGTGTTTGTCATGTGTCGCTCGAGGAGTCTGACCACCGGCTGCCATCCTGGCGAGCAAATACATTCCGCCCCGTGGTTGTGCTTTGCTGTTGGCAGTCAGTGTGACTCTCTTGAAACGTCCTCAACGTGGGTGGCGTAACTTAGACAGATGCTCCTTTTATAGTACGTTTGTTTTAACTAGCAGTCAACATCACTTGGCTTTGCGATGAAATTGGGTGTTTGCTGGTAGGGTAATGATTGTGCAATGAGCCAATCGAACGGCATTACTTTTCTCCAGGAAAAATTTTCGGGGGTTAAGCCCGCTTTGTGTAATGTGGCATAGTGCTGTCTCCCACTTGATCCGGATACTTCACGCCTTGAATTGGGATTTTTACTGATTGCCAAGGACCACATTTGGCCCCATGCAGGTTTGGTCCTTATGTGAGGCGCAGAGGACCAGCTACCAGGGGCGCCTCATGACGTCTAGCATGGAAGCTGCGGGTGATTTGGACCGAGTTCCGAATGCACGTAACAGCCTGCCATCGTTCTGCGCTGATGACGCCGCTGGCGCGCGATAGGTGGCGCGCGAGTGCCTCCGGTCTGATCGTGGATCCCATTGCGATGCTGTGGCGCACACCAGCCGTGGCAGTCAACGTCACGCCAGAGCAGAATTGTGCTTAGTCCAGCCGATGAGCGGTATGTTTGAGGTGCCCCCCCCCCCCCGTCCCTCGGGTTTTCACGCGCTGTGCACGATGCATCAGCATGCACCCGCGTGAGGCTCCCGAGAGACTCGTCACGTGTCTTGTCATTGTGTCTTCAGTTGAAATACTTTTCGTGTTTTGAGAGCGAGTCTCTCGAGGAACGTCATTAATCGAGTGCCAAGAACGAACTCCTAACTCGCTCGTGAAATCCTAAGCGCGGAAGCAGCACTTATCTGTTTAAACATTTCAAAATTGTACCAATCCCAAAAGAAACAAAAATGCCATAAATATTAAAAAATTGTAGGGTTCTTCACTTACGTATTCGTCTCTACGCAGAAGATTCTTAAAAAGTGAGGCAACGCTGTCAGTTTTTTTAGGCAAATATGAGCTGAGACCGCTGGCACAAACAACAAAACATATATAACATAAACCTGGCGAAACTCCGTTCGTCAATGTCCGCGACTGCATGCGGGTTAGACGCGTATTTAACGTGGGACGAACGAAGTGTCAGCGGAGATGAGCATTATTGCCCTGTTGACATTCTCAAACTTGAACGGACAGAGCCAGGTGCCCTTGGAACCCCACCCCTCTTCCACACGATTTGAGCAGACAGGCATAGCCATACATGGCCACACATGGCCATATCCTGCTTATCTTAAGCCCAGCAACTCGAATGCTCCAGACTTGGACGAGGGTGTTTTTGTCTGCCCTTCCCGTGTGATTATTGGCAGCTAGACGGGCTGTGGGGTCCTGTTGGCGCTCCACTTCTCCGCTATTCTACCACCAGGACATGACCTAGTCATCGGGGTTTGCGTCACATTCTTTCGTCACATTCTTGTTAAGGCTATATACGTGCGTGCTATTTCCCACAGTATATTGTAATTCTGTTTGCATTATCCGCGGCTTTGGATTTACACACACCATTAATCCCACGCTTGTGGATCACAGCAGTCCTCGTTTCGCAAAGCGCGTAGAGCTCTGGGGTCCAATGCGAAACAGCCTCTCGCTTCTGCCGTTTTGTGTCTGCGGTGATCCCAAGATGGAAACTTGCTGTCAGCGATAGCGTCGGATCCGCCGTCCTTCACCAGTCACCGATATGTGCCCCTAAACCGACGTTCATTATTGGTCAAGCTCTCTGTCAGCTGTTGGCAAACAACAAAAGCGGTCTTGAGAAAACAACCCGGGATTGGATGGCGTTCGGATAGTTGAATGGTTTGTGGGCGGTCCACCCGTCAATGCTGCACATTTGGTATCTCATTTTGCCTGTTCCGGTTACCAGCAAGCGACGCTGAATCCAACAAACGGTCAAAAGCAATTTTTCTGAGCTTGGCGTTTAAGTGGCGTGCTGCTGGTAAGCTGGCAGTGATGCCCATTGGTTGCCTCTTCCATTGCTTGTTTCTCCCGCTCAGGTAATATTCATCTCGTGTGCCTGTGACGTCAGATCGACATGGTCTGTGATTTGCTTCGATTCGTGTTCTGTGGTTGTTTTTCGGTTGCAAACAGTGCGCACCCTTTGCCAATAGAATGGGAGGTAGAATGTTGATTTATTGCTGTGCTGCGTTGTAAAGATACAAAAGTCTTAACATTGTACATACAAATTGTTGCGCAGTGGTTTATTCTGCGCAAGACCGCATGGATCTGCGACCAGCGGTTGCCAAAGCATCGGCTTGTGAAGGGTGTTTTGCTTAACTGGGTTGCTCAAGCCAACAGTGTTCCCTACAGTTCCTGTCACACTCCCCCGGCCATTGACCCGGCCTGGTGCAAACAAGGGCATACGCTGGGCGAGTCTCACTTAAGCTGTTTGAAAATTTTGCTTGCAACGGCCCGGCCGTGTCCAGTCGTCACGCATGGTTCCTTGAAAGCTGTGATGAGCAACATTAAAGGGAGTGTCTCACCTGTGGGGCATGTTTCATAAAAGTACTCTGTGGTGGTGGTGGTGATTTGGTTTTAAGGGCGCGTCAGCATCGGGGTCATTTTGCGCCCAATAAAAGTACTCTGGTGAAACCTCAGGACCACTTATTTTAACAATACCACTGGGTAGTGGCACTGCAGCACCATCAAAACGTAACAACGATATAAATTATAATTACGTTCGTTATTTTAGACCACATTACGATATCACTGTCTTGTAGCAGCCCTGCACTTCTTCCTTTCTTGGTAGCCCCAGAGTGTATCCCGAGCTCGCGACAACTGCAGTTGTCGCGACCACCGCCGCCGCAATAACCGCAGTCGTCGTGACAACGGCGGAATCTGCTGAGGGTCGTTGTCAGCTGGTACGGGTTAGAGGCACCGCTTTTGAGCTGTTTTCATCCGCACATTGCGGGTCTGGAGCTTAAAAGTGTCACCTCTACTGGTGTGAATGACGTCAGTACAAACCCACGTTTGTGATCGGCACAGCGGGTTACAAGGGCCTGTTACCGAGAAGCGCATTGATGAGGTTTGAACCAGTGCGTCATGATAGACCATGTGATACTCCGTTCCCCGAAGCCAAAGTGCGTTCCGAAAAAGTCACTAGGCGACGCCAGGGGGCGGGGGAATCAAACGTTCAACACAGCGTTTCGTTGAATTCTCGGGATAAGAGCCTCCTGTTTGCATGTCTTTTTTTAAACACAGTGTTTCAAGTTTTCGGAGCAATCATTACGCAAGCATGTCAACAAATCAGTGTGTTGCCAGCTATGCAGAGCACGCACGATGGAAAACGCAAGACAAATGAAATGTATTACCTTCATGGTGGTGAGCTGGGAGTGCAATGAGATTGTTACCGCACGAGCGCGAATCAAAATTCTGAGCTATTTGGAGGGATTTCGAGAAAACTGGCAGTATTGATCGAATCGGACGCATCTGATCAACAATAATTGAAGTGTACACCGAAGGTGTCATATTTCCTTTAAATGTGTTGATATGCAAGCTATAGGTTCTGGGTGTAGTTTTCTTTTGTAGCGTAGTGCCCTTCCTAATTACGTAAGTTGTTAAGCTTATTGGCGAGGAACATTATTCACATAGATGAGACATTAGTACTAGCCGTATTCCTTGGAGAAAAACCAGGAGACTGGAGATATAATTGGATTGATATTTCGGCAACATGCCTTTATGGAGACTATAGTAGAAGTGAATTCACTTCTGCTATTGTTTGGATAAAGGCATGTTGCCGAAATATCAACTCAACCTATTTCCATTCTCCTGGTTTTTCTCCGAGGAATAAGGCAAATACCACTGTCTTATCTTTGTATCCTTAATGTTAAGTTGGTGGCAAATTGGTGCCTCTAACTAATACGCATATCTCCTTACTACACGACATTCTTCTTCGCTGAGACCGAGTCGACAGTTACATGACCATGATATGCATCTGCGCTTTGAGCCATCTGCGGGGATAGCCGACAACATTTTGTCGAGTCGCTCTGCGCGTTTGCTCTGTACGAGCCGTTGTCATTTTACCCATCTGGCTCCCGGAGGTGAGCCGCTTGACCAGCCGCCTATGGCATGCTTGGCTAGCCGTTCGCCATCTCCGTCCTCGCCTCGCCGTTTGCCTACAGCTACTGGAATGAGTCGAGGACTCTTCATTTCATTTATGTGGGTTACGTCGGAGAGCGAGAGTGCGGGCGTAGCATCAGAAGGCAGGTGGCATTGTCAGGCTATGGCTCAGCGTCTAAAGTAGCCGGAAAGTCCATCTGTCCTCTGCCAGTGCATTGTTCGTGCATTTGACTGGTCGCCTACGCTTGCTCACCGCCTGAACAATCCAAGTTTCTGAAGTGACTGACTTGCCTCGCATCGTAGATGCTGCGGTGAGCAATGCAGGATCGCACAACACGGCAACGGCTCTCCTCCTGGGTCGTGCTTGCGGGTTGTAACATCCATGATGGATCTGGATCGGCACATGAGGCCGTCCCTGGGATTCTGCGAGGCCAGGGACTCTTGCTCATTGCCCGCTTTGCACACTGAGCGTCGGGTGCATTGAGTGGCATGTTGGATCTGTTGGATTTGTTTACGCAATGGAATCCTGATATTGGACATCGTAGAATTTGAGATCAGAGATGCGTTGCGGGCTTCAAGTGTTGAGACAGGAAGGACGCTGTTGATCTCACACCTCCCGGGCGCGCGACGGCGACTGCATGAGCATGGCGTACGTCATGTGGTACAAGCTCATGGTAACTGTGTGGGCGAGGCTTGCCAGATATTTTAACAAAACCGCCCTAGATTGCCTGGGAACGGCGCCGGCACGATCATATGATCCTCTCGTATCGATTGCTTTAGTATTTGTTTAGTGATATAAATATCTTCTGTGCCGATCTCCTAGGACTGGCGTCTCCTTCGCCGATTCCCCCGCATCGATGTCTGTGCCATTCTCCTAGCATTTGGGCATGACTTTTGCTCCCATTGGAAAAGCCCG